CGTGACATGTTCGTACGAACCCTTTGTACGAACAAAAGTAAGAGAAATTTAAGATAAGAATACGAACATGTTCTTGCATGAGGCCCATTGGGTGTAGTCTGAGGCACCTTCTTGGAAGGAATGACGTTAGTTTAGTCATGTCAGAGTGCCAATTTTAGCTGCATCATCTTTGTCTCCACGTTGTCACCTTTTGTAATAAGAAAATTAACAGTGAAACTCTTTCCTTTTCCATCGATGGCTTCTTGGTTCTACATAACTTACCCTGATGACTTGACCTTTCACTATAATAATAGCCTCAGGGCTATCCTCAGTTCTCTCTCCTCTAAAGACCAAATCTCTCCTTGGTTTCTGCTGACTGAATCACAGTTGATGAAACCAAAGGTCAATGACATACACCTCTACAAACTGGCTTCACAATTCACAAAACGATCCACAAAAATCATATTCAAAACTGTATCATCCACACCAAATCCACTATTAATACTGAATTAATCCATTCCAATGAAGGCAGTTCTAAGTAGTTGTTTTCATTTCTCAACAAAACTTTCCAACACCCCAGCTTCCCTCCTGCCTCATTTGCGTTCTGAAGCTTTCTGCAACATTAATTAACTCAAATCCTGGTTTTCCTCAAACTTTATCAAAAATAAAACAGTGACAAAACTCAATTTCTGCTCATTGGTGCAAAATAAACTTTGTAAAAAACAGAATAACCTCCCATTTTAGTGGGTAATACCTTTGTTTCCCCATTTGGGAAGTCTGGTTAAGTCAGGGTGCCATCCTTGACAGTGCAGTCATTTCAATACCACATCAATAACACCACATGGCCCGCACATCCTTTCATAAACTATAACTGATTCAGAATTGGTCTGCTTGTATCATCACCAGTACAGTGAGATTACATGGAGCATATGTCATAAAGGTTTCAGGTACTGAGGGTCCCTGTCCAGGAAATCAGTGAGTGTGGTAAAGAGGCAAAGAGGAGACAGAACTGGAAGTGTTGGAGATGAAGATGTTGAGGTTCTCCTTGTAAGAGACAAGGATGGACAGGATTAGTAATGAGATCATCAGAGGGACAGCACAGGTTGAAGGACTGGGAGATAAAGATTGAGATCAGACTGAGAGGGTTTGGACGTGTCCAGACGAGGGACAGTGGATATATTGGTTTGGACATGTCCAGACGAGGGACAGTGGGTATATTGGTTTGGACATGTCCAGACGAGGGACAGTGGGTATATTGGTTTGGACATGTCAAGACGAGGGACCGTGGGTATATTAGTTTAGACATGTCCAAAGGAGGGACAGTGGGTATGTTGGTTTGGACATGTCAAGACAAGGGACCGTGGGTATATTAGTTTAGACATGTCCAGAGGAGGGACAGTGGGTATGTTGGTTTGGACGTGTCCAGACGAGGGACAGTGGGTATGTTGGTTTGGACGTGTCCAGACGAGGGGCCGTGGGTATATTGGTTTGGACGTGTCCAGACGAGGGACAGTGGTTATGTTAGTTTAGACATGTCCAGAGAAGGGAGAGTGGGTATGTTGGTTTGGACGTGTCCAGACGAGGGACAGTGGGTATATTGGTTTGGATGTGTCCAGAGGAGGGACAGATGAGGGACAGTGGGTATATTGCTTTAGACATGTCCAGAGAAGGGACAGAGGGTATATTGGTTTAGACATGTCCAGAGGAGGGACAGTGGGTATATTGGTTTGGACGTGTCCAGAGGAGGGACAGCGGGTATATTGGTTTAGACATGTCCAGAGAAGGAACAGTGTGTGTAGTGGTTTGGACGTGTCCAGAGGGACAGTGGGTATATTGGTTTGGAAATGTCCAGAGGAGGGACAGTGGGTATATTGGTTTGGACGTGTCCAGACGAGGGACAGTGGGTATGTTGGTTTGGACGTGTCCAGACGAGGGACCGTGGGTATATTGGTTTGGACGTGTCCAGACGAGGGACAATGGTTATGTTAGTTTAGACATGTCCAGAGAAGGGACAGTGGGTATGTTGGTTTGGACGTGTCCAGACGAGGGACAGTGGGTATATTGGTTTGGATGTGTCCAGACGAGGGACAGTGGGTATATTGGTTTGGACATGTCCAGACGAGGGACAGTGGGTATGTTGGTTTGGACATGTCCAGAGAAGGGACAGTGGGTATATTAGTTTAGACATGTCCAGAGGAGGGACAGTGGGTATATTAGTTTAGACATGTCCAGAGGAGGGACAGTGGGTATATTGGTTTGGACATGTCCAGAGAAGGGACAGTGGGTATATTAGTTTAGACATGTCCAGAGGAGGGAGAGTGGGTATGTTGGTTTGGACGTGTCCAGAGGAGGGACAGTGGGTATACTGGATTGGACATGTCCAGAGGAGGGACATATAACCCTAACCTGGTGACAAATGAAGGCTAACTGAAGTATGTGCTTCTTAGCCTACTTAATAGACTAATTAAAAGGCAAAAATAAATATTGTTAATTTATTAAATGATTAATCAACACAAATACCCACGGCACTGACTAACTTCATAATAAGAGGGTGGAACTTTTCAATTCAGATAATTTGAAACTTAAACTTTTATTTTAAATCTTGCAGCACCAGGCAGATCTATGATGACATAAATTTGATGAACTGATTTTTCTGTCTGAGATCATTAAGAGCATCACACATTAACAAGTTGTGCTTCTTACTGACACTTTCCCACAGAAACTCTTGGGTCATGACGTGCACACAATAAGGTTATGCTCCTTTTTACACTGGTGTCTGTAATTATAACAAAGCTGAGCCATTACTTCCTGGTTACCTTGACTCCTTTGGGAAACCCATCTTGTAAAGAGTGACCACCACAGCTCCTCCTATGCCAATGTTGTGCTGCAAGCCCAGTTTTGACCCTGGGACCTGCCTCTTGCCGGCCAGCCCCCGGAGCTGCCAGCACAGCTCTGCACACTGCGCCAGACCTGTAGGGGGAAGAGTGTGGACGGAGGGAGGGACAGGTGGGCAGAGGGACAGTAGGTGAGGACAGGAGTTACTGATCATGCGCAAAGCAGATTTCATAAACAGAAAAGGCATCCCCCATTTTACAGACTACAGTAGATGCAGCAAAACACCAGAGTGGAAAAAGACCACTCTAATTCTCACCCTTTCATGAGCTCCAATTCATTGCTTTAAAATACTGCTTTCTATTTGAAATGGAGAATTTAAAAAAAATATATATCTTTTGAAAGGCACACAGCCTGAAAAGCACCGCCAAAAAAAAGAAGCCAAACACTTTCAAAGGTTTCTGAATGAGGGAAACTAAAAGCACAAAGTCTCTCACTTGTTTTTGTATTTCATGGAGCACAGAATATACAGTTTTTTAGCTTTGGTAAAAGCAGAAACTAGCTGCGCGTGGCACAATACAGTATCTCCTTTTAGTGAAGAATAACAGGAAAATCTTTACAGTGGTGTCACCTTCTAAAACAGATATTAATCTTTTAAAGAACTTTCAAAAAAAGGATACGCTGGCCATTTTCTCATAAAGTTATAAAGATTTTATATTAACTGTAGAGGTTATTTTTTGACCAACTCAATTGTTCCATTGTCCTGCTGCTTCTCCTGCTCTGGTAAAAAAAAAAAAAAAAACATAGGCCCATCAGTGCATGCTGGTCCTTTACCAGATCTTAGCAGCTCTTTGAATGATCTCAGATAAGAGTTTATTCTGACTGGACTAAAGAACTAACTGTTGGTCTAAACGCAGCCAAGAACAGAGGATTGCTGCTTCATTAAAAAAGCTTCAATCATTAAAAAGTCATTGCTGTTCATGCAAACACAATTTAAAAACCTTTACATTTTTATTTTGCGTAAATGAGTCGTTTACTTAAAACTGTATGGGTATTTCCAAGAGCATTTAGCGACAGCTAGCTGTACCCATTCTGTACTATTTGGTAATTTTGCAATTATTCATAGTATGTGATCGTATAACTGCAATTGGTAACACTGATTTCTGCAGAAATATTACAAAAGTCCTGTCTGAAGCAGCTCAGGCTGCACCAGAAGTGCTACTGTGGTGAATTTTCAGGTGTACTGGCCCTTTAAGGAACGTGAACGAGCCAGGCATGCTCACGCTTGTCTCGGGGGCACGCGCTTCTCAGGGCGGGAGTTGGAGTAAACATGTTAGCTGGGTAGACGCTTTTCTTGCTCTCTCGTAAATAAACGATGTCCAAAGCTGAGAAATCGCCTCTTCATCATTCCGTGTTAGATTAGAGTTTTATTGACAGTCGACAAGTCTTCAGAGAAGCAAGCCACCGACAGCGGAACCAGCCCGCCAGCCCAGCTCCGAAGCAGAACCAGCCGACAGCATCAGCCCCAGAAGTGAGCAGGAGCCAGCAGACAAAGAGAGACCAAACAGAGTCCAGCAGCCGCAGAAACGAACCAGGAAAAGACACAACAAAAAATGGCGTCACGAATTTAGGTCTGTTTTGCATTTTTTCTTTGTTAAAATGCAGCTGTGAGCCTGTGTGTGGAGGCTGAATATACGTGAAGTGTTTCAGATTGTTTCTGAGTCTTTTTTGTGTCTAGAATCAAATTTCTTTGTCATGCTAGCGTTTCTGTTTGAGTTTTTGTGTATCTGTGTTTTTATTGGGGTTAAAAGGAAGCGTTTTTTTGTCGAGTTTAGGGCTCCGTGCAGAACAAAGAGCTGCAGCTGCAGAGAAGGGGGCTGGGTGTGGTCGCACATGTTGTTAGCGCGAAAGAGTGCTTTGTCATGACACGAGATGTTGTAAACCAGCTTAAAGTACAATAATACTGTTCCTTTTATGTTTTAAAAAGTCATGCTGAGGTGTGTCCTAAATC